ACTTTGGTGTACAGGAAAAATAACAGGAAGGAAGGAAAGGAGGTGTGCAGAAAGTTATAGCAGACCTGAGACTGCCATTCTTGGGAACATCTACTTGCAATGTTGGCCCTTGGCTGGGGTCTGGGAACTTCCATTTTAAGAGGGTTTTCTAAGAGGTAGGGTGGGCCATTATGCCTAAACTGTTTGTGCAAACAATATGATTTCTGCTGAACACCTGCTGTCTTGCTAGAGGGCCTGGAATTTTGGTATATGTTAGGCAGGAGGTGCCTACGTGGCTAGCCCTCACTAAAAAGCTTGGGCTCTGAGTCTAAAGAACTTATCTGGGCTGACACATCACACACATGTTGCTGCATTTTCATTGTCGGAGGAGGAAGTGCTCTGTGTGACCCCTCATGGGAGGGAGAGAGCATGAGGAAGACTTCCCATGGGTTCCTCCAGACTCTGCCTATCTGTCCCCCTTATGATCTGGCTGTGTATCCTTGCGAGATCACTGTCCTCATCTTAGCCATGAGTATAACTATGGGCTGAGTCCTGAGTCCTGCTAACAAATCCCTGAATGAGGGGTGATCTTGGGCACCCCCGACACAGGCGGCCATACCACTCTGGGTAGCTGTGGCAGAATGGGAGCAGAGGAGGTGAGTAGACTGGTGAGGAGACTATTACAATTAACTAAGCAAGAAATGATGAAGAACTGGACAGCAGACATAGAGAGAAGGGGAATTACTGTTGAGATATTAAGAATAGACCATAGATTAGAAGTGGAGGCTGAAGGTGATGGGAGAGGCAAGGATGACTCCAGGTCACAGATCTGAGCAACGTGTGAATAATGGCACCATTCATAGAGATGAGCGACAGAAAAGTAGTTTTGGAGGGAAAGCTAAGAAGTACAGTTTTGGGCATTTAGAATTTGAGCTGTTTCCACATCTCTGGATAGGAAAAAAATCAGATGACTCTGGCTCCCACTGACCAAGTTGTAAAAATTATTATTGCCAAATGAAATCACTTGAATTTTGAAAAACTGTGAGTTTCATTCAAAATAGAAAGGTTAATATAAAGTATTTTAAAAATGGTTATAAAACAAAGTAGGCAATGTTCAAGGCTTTAGTTATATATAATAGTACTTTGTTTTTTTCTATTATTTGTAAGACTATTCATAAAGTATAGACATATCCTTGAGATATATAGTTGGATTCATTCACATAAGCATGAAAAAAGAAACCTAGGAAAAGGGGATAAACAAAGTAATCCCAGAAATAGGAATTCCGTACCCCAAACAGGAAGGACTAACCAGCAATGGGACCAGGTAGAAAGAACATGGGCTCCTCACAATGAACCAACCTCAGATTCTAAAGAGGCAAAGTAACTGCAGACTTAATCCTTCTTCCCTTAGGAGATGAGCCCTCCAGCTGGTCTTATTAATTATAAGATACTAATAAAGGTAAGTTATGTTTTCAAAAATGCCAAAAGACTAGATCAACATATACTTACTAGACAACGGGTTAACACCGGCCAAGCAAACTTTAAAAGAATATTGCCTTGAGGGTGAACAACAGTTTGCAAAAACTAAAACCTATGTGAAAGGCAAAAACTTAAAACAAAACTTACTGGAAAAAGAAGTTTGGTGTAACTATAAAAAAGAATCTCAACCTGAGGAGAGATTGGGGTTTGAATCTTGCTAGGAGGCCAAGAGGATACCTGTACAAATGGAAACAAATATACAACATCAGTTGGCAACCAGAGCCTCCAACTTGTGTTGTCTGTGGCAATATGTATTCGTACACTTGTTGGTTTGTCAAGATTCCTCCATCCCCAGGAGGGTCTCAAAATATTACCCTTGGGTCCTATGGAGATGTCAAAATTAGCATTTAGAGATACAGAAGAGTATAGGAGTAAAGGCTCTGGCAGACCGCTTGAAGTCTGTCAAAGTCCAGCTCTGCCTCTTCCTACCTGTGTGACCTCAGGTAAGTTTCTTAACATCTCAGTTTGCCCATCTGTAAAATTGGGATAGTGAAAGTACACATCTCATAAAGTTATTGTGATCCTTAAATAGGATAATACGTGTAAGGCATTTAGAATAATATGCTAAGTAAGTGTCAGGAGTCCTAGGAAGGTAGAAATAAAGAAAATATTAATTACACTGTGTCGCTGCTGTTTTAGAGTAGGTTTAAGTGTAAGTGTAGCCACAATATTGGGATCAAAGTATTTGTATATGTTGTCTAAAGCATTAGAACTTTTTGAACAAATCAGCTGAACTACATCTGAAATTGTGGTTGAAACTGCTCAATGTTTAAATGCTTAAAGACAATTTTCAAAGTTTCATTTATTAGATTATAACTTTAATACACTGAGTATTAACCAAAGTACAAACAAAGGTGAGCATAAAAGCTCCCCAGCCATTAAACGACCAGCTAGTATTCCCAAGGTGCTCATCGTCTGTGGGCTCCCTGCCAGGCCAACTTCAGTCCCCGTCAGGTCTAGACTCCACCAGCAGTCACTTTGGTAAGCTCTCAATGGTACTCAGGACTCCTCAAATCCACCACATTCACACGGAATCACTGCCAGCAAAGGGTCACCTCTGTTTTTCCTTTCCCTATTTCTGGATCTCAGAGTATTTCTGGAGAAAATGCTTTTCAAATTCTTATTCTATACCTTCACAGAGTGCTCGCCTAGAAAGCTTTTACCGTTCCCATCTTAGCTACACAGCTATCCCAAACCTCCATGGCTACCCTTCAATTTCAGCAGAACACTGTCTTTCACCACACTGAAGCTTCGCAAGAGTGAGTCACTGAGCAAGGTAGGACTGTGGTAGAAAGCATTCCACAGGCCTGGATTACTGACTGTGAAGGCTTGGGCAAGTTACTTAAGCTAACTGTTGACCCCCCATCCCCTGTTTTTTAATACCTATTTCACAGGGCAGTTATAATAGTAAATGAGACAATTAATGTAAAGCATTTATCTTACAGTCTGTTCAATAAATGAAAGCTTCTTTCCTTTCTACTGCCCAACACCAACCCATTCAACCAATATTTCCAAGTACCTGTTATGTGCTAGGCAGCCTGGGTGTGAGGCCAGCAAAACGGAAATGTCTCTTCTCCAGGACTTTACCTTAGCGTCCTACATCTGTGTCCTACTTTCTCTTCCACCATTGTTTCCTCTCAGAATCTGCTTCCTGCATGACCCACTCTTCCTTTCTCCAGCATCTCCCATCGCTTCAGGAGCTTCTTCACATATCTGCAAACAGATATAATCCTCCTCGATGTGAAATTATCTTCACTGAATCCCATGGCCTCCCTCTGGCAAAACAGTTCTGATTTAGATTTTCCTTTCATGATCAAACTTCTTCTACATACCTACTGATGCCACATCATCACCACCTACTCTTCTCAAAGCCATTTTTCTGCTCCTGCCACCCCTCACACACCTGAAACCGCATGCTTGAAAACTGCCAATGCACTTCTGAGCTCTAATTCCGACAGTCCTTTTCTCCTTATTTCTCTGCAGCTTTTTGACTGTTTTGACAAGTTTCTGATGCTGCGCAAGGCTCAGATTGCGTACAGCGTTCTTCCCGCTATCCCGCAGAAAGTCCATGCACACCTGGTGCTCCATTTCCACCTCTACAGAAATGCTTCCAGGGTCTAGTCCCAACCCCTCTTCCAAACTCATCCTGCATTTCCAAATGACTAAGAATTTTCAATTAGACATTTTGTTGGCATCTTAAAACCACCTCCCCCTATGCAATTCCCCACATGAGCTCCTCTCCCTGTCCTTACATTTCTAGCAGATGTTCTATTATTCTCCCAGGTGCCCCAAATTCAAACTCTTATCTAGCTATCTTTCCTCCCAAATCTAGTTAGTCACCAGATCCTTCTGAGTCTTCTTTTGCAATGTCATTTGTATCCTTACCCACCACCGACACCATCATCATTCAGGTCCACAACAGCTTGCTTCAGGACTACTACCACTACCAAGCATTCCTAACTGGTTCCCTGCACTAGTCCCTTCCCCTCTCTAGTCCTGGATGGAAACTCTAGAATAACTGTACCAAAACAGTTTTAGTCCTGTCAGTCCCCGATCCGTCCCATACAATCCACCCTGCTGACCGTGTCTCGTCCTGATCCTCTATGCTCTGACCCCACTGTGCTTTTCCCCACCCTTGTCCCCCACTGTTCCTCGATACTTCACTCTTATACATAGCATTTCCTTCTCAAATCTGCCTAATGCTTCGCTACTTCTTTCCTATTTTTTTCACATCAAATTCTACCTCCTCCACGAAGGTCCCCTGATATAGTGCGGAGGCCTATGGTAGGGAGCTAAACGAGACAATCTGATGCGATTTCTGGGAAAAACGGAGGGACTGGAGTGGGCGGCACCCTAGATTTAGTGTCAATTCCACCCACGTTTATTAAGCACCTATTATGGGAAGAAGGTACGGGAGGTGCAGAGGAAGGCTCCAAACTTCCCACGGAACACACGCACACACGGGGGCTGGGGGGAGAACTTTCTGTCCGCACCTGTCCGAGCCGGAACGTCGACACACACACACACACACACACACACACACACACACACACGCACGCACACACTTACGCGCACACACGCACACACTCAGACGTTCTGCAGGTTGGCTCCGCCCGCGTCACCTGTTCTACTCCCACAGCACCTCCCCCAAGTTCTCAGTGTCCCCTTCTCTCGGCCGCTGCGCTCACTCGGCTCCGCCAAGACACACACCCACAGCCCTCACCTCCGGCACAGACTGCTCGCGACCCAGGAAGACGGCGCCTTTTCAGGTCGGGAAAGCAGTGCGCCGGCGCAGGGGGTTCTGACGTCCGCGCTCCCCACCAATGCTCGGCTTTGGCAGACTCCATTTCCCAGAAGTCTCAGCGGTTGGCGAGCTTGAATTTGATGTCTAAAGATCTGCGCAAACGTACCCTTCTAATGAAGGGGTGGGCGGTGCCGAACCGGATCCGACGCGGCAGTGCGGCAACCTGAGCGCGGAGAGGGAACCGTCGTGGATGCTAGGGAGGCTTGTGGCCAGCCTCGAAGTGCTGCATATGTGTGATGTCACGTCCCTCCAGTCCTCCGATGGGAGGGCCGTCCTAAGGAAATGTGCCTCTTTTAGCTTTGGGGGCCGGTCCCTACTGAGAACGACTTCGAGTCTTCTGGCCCTCGGAAGGGGCTTGTTTCCGCTTCAGCTTGTTCACTTTAAGGAATTTGGTTGTAAAATTTGGGCAGGAGTGACGCAGAGTTTGGTTCAGAGGATGGGGCTGGGTATGTGCACATTTTTGTGCAGAAAAGAGAAGAGCCCAGGAGTAAGTCAGGTAGCCCGACTCCCGACATTTTGAGTGCACACCAGCCTGTCTTCCTTGGTGCTACTGGAAGGACCCTCGTTGGAGTCTCGCAGGGCTTCTCAACCTTGACTGCACGCCGGAATCACTGAAGAGCTTTGATACATTGATTCCTGGGGCCCACTATGAGGAGTGAGAGTTTGAAAAGATCTGCAGGTGATCCTAATGTGCAGCTGAAGCTAAGAATCACTGCTCTATAGCTTCAGGGAAGACTTGAGATTATACAAAGAATGTGATGAAGTTCTACAGTCAGGAACAAGTCTACACTTGCACTCAAAGAACCTAAATTGCCTGCCGTAGGCAAGGCATTGTTACAAATACAAATAAGACACAGTTACTGCCCCAAAGGAACTCGTGTTCCAGTGGACAAATCAGAATGTGAAATTGTTACAACACAAAGCAGTGTGTTCTACAATTATGTCACTATTGGGAGACACTATTGGGAGTACAACTGAGGAAGCAATTAACTATGGCCAAGAAAGTTGGAAAAAGCTTCCTATAACTGGTATCCTTGAAGAAGAGTAATTAGAAAAAATGCAGAGAGAATAGCATCTGCAAAGGTATAGGCTAGAGGATAAAAGTGCAAAGAATTAGTAGCAAGATGAGTGGCTGATGGATAAGGTTTAGGGGCTGATAACCACGACCTGGAGCCAGATGGAGGGCGATTTTGTGCTATAGTAAGGGGTTTGGACCTTCCAAGAGGATTAGGACTTCGAAAAGTTACAATGTCCAAGACATATTTTCTTGCTGTTCCCTTCTGTGCATGTTTTTTTTGTTGTTTTTTGCGGTACGTGGGCCTTTCACTGTTGTGGCCTCTCGCGTTGCGGAGCACAGGCTCCGGACGCGCAGGCCCAGCGGCCATGGCTCACGGGCCCAGCTTCTCCGCGGCATGTGGGACCTTCCCAGACCGGGGCATGAACCCGTGTCCCCTGAATCGGCAGGTGGACTCTCAACCACTGCGCCACCAGGGAAGCCCAGGTGGGTTTTGTTATTCGTTTAGCCTTATGCTGAGAGTGGAAATTTGTGGGTCCTGGGTGAGTTTCTTAGAGTTCCCTCCCCTTGGGCAGGCCTTAGGGTTTCATCGCTACCTTAACTCCCCAGGTTGCTGTCAGAGTGGGAGCTTAAGTTCTCCAGGGTTTAGCAGGGTAAGAGTTGGGTTTACTGCTCACTCACCTCTCAGGGCTCTAGCTCACACTTCCTTATTTTTTTAAATTGAGGTATAGTTGATTTACAATATTATATTAGTCTCAGTTGTACAACATAGTGATACACAATTTTAAAAGATTATACTCCATTTATAGTTACTATAAAATATTGGCTATATTCCCTGTGCTGTACAATATATCCTTGTTGCTTATTTATTTTTTACATAGTAGTTTGTACCTCTTAATCCCCGATCCCTATCTTGCCCCTCTCCACTTCCCTCTCCCCACTAGTAACCACTAGTTTGTTCTCTATATCTGTGAGTCTGTTTCCGTTTTGTTATATTCACTAGTTTGTTGTATTTTTTAGATTCTGCATATAAGTGATATCGTAAAGTGTTTGTCTTTCTCTGTCTGACTTATTTCACTAAGCATAATACCCTCTAAGTCCATCCATGTTGTTGCAGGTGGCAAAGCCTCATTCTTTTTTATGGCTGAGTAGTATTCCATTGTGTGTGTGTGTGTGTGTGTGTGTGTGTGTGTGTGTGTGTGTGTACACACACAAGTCCACTGTCCTCCCTGGCAGCAGATACCCATTGAAGGAGACCCAGCCCAACCTACCCCCATTCTTTGCTGGAATATTTTATACCACATCTTATTCATCTGTTGCTGGACACAGGTTGCTTCCATATCTTGGCTATTGTAAATAATGCTGCTGTGAACATTGGGGTGAGTGTATCTTTTTGTTTTCGTTCTTTCTTTTCTTTAACTTTGCAAATTCCTTACTTTCATGCCTGTGTGTTTAGAGAGATGATTTATAAGTTTTCAGCATTTTTATTTTTTTAGTTTTTTCCAGTTAGGGTTGTTCAGGGAACCCAATCTGCCATGTTGCTGGAAAGATTAAGAGAACTTTAGCCAGTTTTCTTAGAAGAGTTAGGAAGGGCATACGGATGCTGAACAGCCAAGAAACAACGTTGTTCAGAATAAAACAAGGCCTGCCAGCTGGGGGCTCAGCCAAACTGCAAGATGTTACGGCTATCTGCTGCTGTGTAACAAATCACTTCAAACTCAGTGGCTTAAAACAACGTTTATTATGCCAATAACTTCTGTGGGTCAGGGACTTGGACAGGGCACAGCAAGGGTGGTTTGTCACCGCTTCACACTGACTCCAGTGTGAAGAGGACTCAAGTGTCTTCATCACTTGTGTGTCTGGTACATGGACTGGCATCCATGGCTGGGCTCACCAGGACTGTGGACCAAAGTCCCTACACGTAGCCTCTCTTTGTACTTGGACCTCCTCACAGCGTGGTGGTCTCAGGGTGGTCAGACTTCTTACATGGCAACTCAGGGCTCCGAGAGAGAGTCCCAGTGAACAAAACAGAAGCTGCATGGCCTTTTATGACCTAGCCTCGAAAATCAGTTCACTTCTGCTTTACACTGTTGGCTGAAGCAGTCACAAGCTTGCCCAGATTCAAGGGAGTTACAGCCCACCTCTCAAAGGGAGGCATGTCAAAGAAACGATGGTAGTTTAAAAAAATCTGCAACATAGGATTTTAGCCTTCCCCTTTCATGGGTGTTTCTCTATGAGACAGGTGGGGCGGGGGTGGAGTGTGGCCTTGCAGTGTCCCTATTTTCAGCGGACAGTTTTGCTGTGTCTCGTTGTTTTGCTCAGCTGTGTTGCTGTCTCCTGAACTGCTGCAGTTTGCTTCTAACAGCTCCTCCCAGGCCCCCTCTTGCAATTCTAAGACCCCTCTTCTTGGACACCATTTGACCTTATTTCTCTGAGCGTCTCTTCTCTTTGCTGCTACTACCTGGTACTCTGTATCCAGATCTACATCTCTCCAAACTCTCTGTCAAAAGAAAACATCATTCTTTTATAGCATGTGGCCTTTTAAGAGGCGTTATCTTAGCAGAAGAGCATGGGCCCTTAGTGATAAGTGTTCTCAGTTTAACCACTCAGTCTATGGGGTAGAGGATGGTTTGTCCCCTAGCAAAGGGATTTGGCTAGTTAGCAGTAATATTCTTTATTTTCTACTACCACCTCTCTTTTCCTGGGGTGCATGTGTATCATCAGAAGCTGGGTAGGTGAGGTGGAAGAGAAATATTCAGGCACAATTTTAGGCTATACCTGAAAAGCATTGTTTCTTCTGATGCCTAGGTCTGATTCCAGGTCAGATTGGTAATCTACTTCTATACCTTTGTTTGTTTAATATATTTTTTTCAAAATAGATACCATTGGATTTTTAGTCCACCCTAAATGACTGTATATGCCTGAGCCCTAATTGCGAACAGGTTTCTGTTTTTACCGTGGGACTCCTTACCCAGGTAAGTCACATGGCGGTGCTCTAACATCCCACATTAGTTAAGGAGGCTCTGTCTGCTAGAGCACACGTTGGACCTGCAGAAATCTCTGTGCTTCAGTTCTGCCTTTCAAAAGCACCAGCCAGTCTTTCACATTTTTGTTTCTTTTAATTAGTTCTTAAAATTCCTTTAGCTCTTTAAACTAGAGTAAGCCATCTCCTTCAGGCTAATGTGAGTTAGAGAGATGCTCTTGCTATCTGATTTTCCTCTGGATAAAATATTATGAGTATTGTTCTTAAAATCTGATATTTCCCATTATTTTTCTGTGGTAATAGAATTTTAGCCAGGCACAAGAATAAAGACTACATTTCCTGGTAGCTAGGTGTGGTCATGTGTTCTGGTAAATAGGATGTAAGTGGATGTGTTGTACAGCACCTTCTGACAACCTTCCGTAAAGGAGAGCTGGACTCAGAACAAAAAGGAATGAACTACTGATACACATGACAACATGGCTGGATCTCAAGGACTTTATTCTGAGTGAAAGAAGCCACTCTCAGAAGGTTACATTCTGTATAGTCTTGTTTATAAGGTATTCTGGAAAACTACAGCACAGAATAGAGCAGTGATCACAAAGGGTTGGGATGGGAGAAGGGTTTGAGTACAAAGGAGCAGCAAAAGGGAATGTCAGGGGTAATGGGGAAACCTATCAGGCTGCTGGGGACCAGGGCTCCCCTGACTGCACTTGGCATCAAATGGCGCACCAGAGCACTCGGAGTCGGGGAAGAGACATCACTGGTCAGCTATTGATTAACTCTCCAGGGTAACAAATGAGGATTGTAACAAGGGCCTCGAGCTCAAGGTCTGTCCCAAAGGACGGAATTTAAGAGTGGGAAATGTCAGGCACTGTAGCAGGCCGATGCCTAAAGGAAAAGGTATCAGGGGCAGGCAGAGCCCCTCAAGTTCATCCGAAGCAGTTCCATTTCTAGTTATGTCAGCCACCAATGAGATGACGCTCTTTTCTCATGTGTCCATACCCTCCCCTTTTTGGTTCCAGAGCACAGAAGAGAACAGAAACTCCTGTGCCAGCCATGGTTCCCAGGCAGCACCCCCTTTCCACACCTCCTCGGCTTGGGAGAAAGAGGGCTTACTTGCCGGGCAGTTGCTGTACCACCCTGGCCATCTGTGCCGCCAGAAGTGCTGGCAGAAAAGTGAAACAGATTGAAAGGACAAGCAAGGAGAATGGGGGCTTCCCTGGTGGTGCAGTGCTTAAGAATCTGCCTGCCAATGCAGGGGACATGGGTTCTAGCCCTGGTCCGGGAAGATCCCACATACCGCAGAGCAACTAAGCCCATGTGCCAAAACTACTGAGCCTGCGCTCTAGAACCCGTGAGCCACAACCACTGAGCCCATGTGCCACAACTACTGAAGCCCGTGCACTCTAGGGCCCGTGCCCTGCAACAAAGAGAAGCCACTGCGATGAGAAGCCCATGCACCACAACAAAGAGTAGCCCCCCTCACCGCAACTAGAGAAAGCCCACGCACAGCAACGAAGACCCAACGCAGCCAAAAATAAATTTATTTAAAAAAAAGGAGAGTGGACTTTTTGCCCTGATTTAATAGGTTATTCTTCCTTGAACCCCTAATTAGGGTCTATAAATCAACCTCTCAGTCCTCACAAATCCCCTCTCTGATTGAGGAGTGCCCCCAGAGAACCACTGTTTTAATACCCAGACTGTTTCTCCATTTCTTTTAGGTCCTAGATGATACGCGTTTCCAGAAGAGGAGGGAGTCCAAAGCCCTCCCTTCTTTGAGTTCACCCTTCACTGAATCCAAAACCGGGGGGCAGTGGGAGAAAGACAGGCACGTTAACAGCCTGTAGAATGCAGTTAGTAGCCTGCAGTTGATCTCAGGTGGCCTCGGCCTGCAGCGGCTTGAAGCAGGATTTCGGTTTGTAGCCAGAGATTGAAGTCAGGCCGTGGCAGTGGGAGCGCTGAATCCTAGCCTCAGACCACCAGGGACCAGTGGCCAGCGACAAGGCCCTGGCCCGTCCGCTGTGTAGAAATGAATTTCCACATAGAGTCAGAAAGTAGTGAAACAAAGTATTTATTAGGAGGAAAAAGGGTACGTGTGGATAGGCACACAGGTGGGCTCAGAGAGGGTCCTGCCACTGTGGTAGTTTGAATCACTTTTATGGGGCATTTCTTCCACGTTTCCTTTGGCCAACCATCTTGCTTTGCCTGGTTCTGAGTTCGTATTTGGTATATCTCAGGGTCCTCTCATATGTGCGCATGCACCTCTTAGCCAAGATGGATTCTAGCGAAGAGGCCTATGGGTAGGTTGACATCACCTACTATGTGGTGGCGGCCCCTCCCTTTTTGACCTTCAAGGAGCCTTTCTGCGCATGTGTAGTCAGGAAGGTCTCCTCGACCTCGAGATGAGAAATAAGCGGTCTAGCGCTTGGCTTCTCCTCCTTCCTCCTATTTTGGCCCCTTCCAGCCTGGGACCCATCTATCTCCTGCCTCACCATGGGCCATCAGATCTCCTGGGCACTTTATAAGAAATACACATGTCTGGAGAGCCTCCTAGAAATTCTTATTTGGCAGATTAAGGGTAGGGCCCAGGCTTTTTAACAAATCTCCAGTGACTTCTGTTCAGCAGCCCCAAGCCAGGCTCTCCGGCCCAGGTACTAAAGGCACTCCCAATATGGGGGTTGCTTCCGGTTCCCTGCCCGTGGCTGGGAGCAGGGTGACACCTCCATCCACGTAGCTGATGCCCACTTTCCCCATCCGCAGCTGCGGGAGCACAGCACCCAGGATTCCCCAGTTGCCAGGGCGCAGGCGCTGCTGGGTCCCGCCCTGCAGCCGCCCCCCGTCGCGTGGCGGCCGGTCTGCGCAGGCTCAGGACGGGTCTCGGGAGGCGGGGCTGGGGCTGGAACCCGGGCGTCCCTTGGATCTTTGTGGGTTTAGCTACTCCTGGCGCGCAGGCCTGACCTGGGCACCGTGCCCCGAGCCCGTGACACAGTGGGGAGTGTCCCTTCGTCTGCCCGCCTGCGAGGGCCTGAGGAGGCCTGGAGCTGGGCGCAGAGTTGCGGGGCCGGTCGTTTCCCTGTGAGGCTCTCCCCAGAATCCCTGCTGCCTCCGGGCAGTGGAGGAGCGGGCACCGAGGTCGCAGGTGTGGCTGGGGCCGTTTTTCCTGGTGCTCTGCGTGAGAGCTGGGTTCCAGAGCCTGGTCCCTAGGAGGAGAGCGGCGGAGCGGAGCCCGTGGGCGGAGGCCGGGCGCGTGAGGGGTCTGGGAGTGGGAGCGGGAGAAGAGCATCGCCCCCGCAGCCATGCTGCGCGCCGCTGGGAAGTGGACCCGGGTTTGACGGCCCTGCTCTGGGCGCTGCGGGTTGGCTGGGCGTCGCTGCCGGAGTGGGAATGCCTGGTGTCACCCAGCTTGCTCCCCGCTCCCTGAACCCCAGGAGGACCGCAGGGACCCGGCCGGAGGACAGAGATTTGGACCTAGTGAAAGGACATCGTCCCTTAGCACCAGCTATGGACTCCACAGCATCAGGTTTGGCTCTCGAGGGTGCCGCGGGCCAGACCCCTCCTGGGGGGTTAGTGCTGGGTCGAGGAGGAGGGCCCTAGGAAAGGGCCGGGGAATCCCACTGGAGAGGCAGAGCCTGCAACCGCCTTCCCTGTGGCGGTGCCTTCCAGGCTAATGAGCGTGAAGTCCCAGCATCCAGAGACCATGGAGGGCATGGCCATGGGAGACTTATCCCAAAGGCCAGAGGACAGAGGGGACAGCAGGAGGGGATCTCTTCCTGCTGTGGCAGGGAGACGGCAATAGACCTGTGAGGGAGTGGCCCTTGGCCAGGGATCAGAGGACAGTGGGGCCATTTGGAGCCTTGCCACCCAATTCCCTTATTACTTCATTAAGTAATAATGTTCTTCCGGAGCAGCTGGGTACAAGGTCAGCAGTGTACACGGTGGGCACCTCCTGTGACCACCGTCTGCCCCAGTGTTGGGGAGAGTGCAATCCAGGTGGCCCAGGAGATTTTAAGCCATTCCTTTCTTAGTTTAGAATCTCCCGCCCTTCACCAAGTGGGCATTTTATTTTTGCTGCCTTGGGTCTTCGTTGCTGCACGCGGGCTTTCTCTAGTTGCGGCGAGCAGGGGCTACTCTTTGTTGTGGTGCACGGGCTTCTCATTGCGGTGGCTTCTTTTGTTGCGGAGCACGAGCTCTAGGTGCATGGTCTCAGTAGTTGTGGCTCGCAGGCTCAGTAGTTGTGGCACACAGGCTTAGTTGCTCTGCGGCATGTGGGATCTTCCCAGACCAGGGCTCAAACCCATGTCCCCTGCATTGCCAGGTGGGTTCTTAACCACTGCGCCACCAGGGAAGTCCCGGGTGGGCATTTTAGTTCTTCAGTGCACATGCTCAGGGTCATAAAACTGGCCAATGACAGAACTGGGCTAAATCTCTGGGACTCTCACCCCCTCTTTTTTCCTATATGCCTTGTGGTCTGTAGACCAGCAGCACAGGCTTCCCCTGCAAGCTCTCTAGAAATGCAGACTCTCACGCCCTACCCCACATCCCCTGACCCAGTCTGTTTAGCGAGATCCTCAGGAATGCATATGCACATTAAAGTTTGAAAAGTGCTGACCTGTGCTATACCACGCTGCCTGCCTACCTCCCTACTTTTGTTGGTGGTGGCCGTAGCCACTTCTCTGGCATGGTTGGGGTTAGTTTTTTGTTTGAAGACTTTAAAAAGAGTATGATACAAAGGCCTATAATAGAGGGGCTCTCAAAATACACTCTAGAGACCTAATGGTGCTTAAGAACATAGAGGACAGCTTCTCAGGAAGAGCTGGCCTCTGCGTTGCTTCCCAGGGATAAGGGGAGAGGTGTAACTTCTTCCCCAAAGTCCTATATCCCTATGTGGCCTCGTCCTAGGCCTTATTTTGTATTGTTAACCTGTCTTATATCCTCAGGTTACATTAAAATTCTTTGAAGTTCTTATTCACATTTATATTTTCAAAAGGCCTAGTAAATGACCTGCATTATTGGAGGCCCAGTAAATAACTCTCCGATAGAGTGGCCAGACTGTGGTCACACTTCAGCTACCTACAGCTTGCTGTGGCCTATGGACAGGTGGGGACCTCACGCAGCTGTGTCCAAGGGCAGCCTCTAGCCCGTCCGTCAGCTCCCTTTGGCCCAGCCTTGTCCCCAGAACCGTGGAAGTGACACACTGACTTGGGGAGTCTGGGAGCTGTAAATCTCATGAGGGTTAGCCTTCCTTATGTCTCCTTTTACCTTCCTAGTTCTCCCTTCTCAGGACCCTGCTCTTCCTCCAGAGAGATGCCCAGGAGAAAAGGGAACAGCCAGCTTATTCCTGAAGGCCAGGCCCCAGGTGAGTTGGGGTTCTCTTGATGTTTCCTCAATTGCCTGAACTATGGCTAGTTTTGCCTCCTTTTCTCTGGAGCTTCCTGGTTTGCCAAAGGGAACTGACCCCAATTCCTGCTCTGCAGGAGGCCGAGCCCATCAAGGCTTTTGCTGGCCTCCTTGCCCCTCGTCCAGGGCCCTCTCCTCTCTGCTCAGCGTGCACTCACTCAGACCCTTTGGTTTATTTCTGTAACGGGCACTGTGGTGAGTACCAAGTAATGCGAGAGCACCCTGGCCCTGAAGGAGATGTCACAGCCACGGAGGGGAGGGGACTCTCGCACCCGGGATGCAGCCCCAATCACAGTAAGGATGTGCGTGGTTTGATGGCAGATGGAATGGCATAGACAGGCCTTTCCATCAGAGTTTGGGAAAAGGAGAACCAGCCTGTGCTGGAGAGGTTGGGGAAGGTGCATGGAGAAGGGGGGACAAGGAGGTTCTGAGGGTTCGGACAGGTGAGGAGGTCATTTGAGGCTGGAGCCCCGTGCACATGTTATCTTCCCGGATTAGTGTGGCAACACACTTAACTTCCCTGCTTCCGGCTGCGCGACCCTGGATGAATCACCGAAGCTCTCAATGCCCTGGTTTTGCCAACTGTAAAATGAGGATGATAATGATGAAAATAATAAAAGCTATTATTTGCTGAAAACCAAATAGGTATCAGGAACTATTCTACACAGTTTATTTATACTAATTAATTTCATCTTTAAAACAGTTCCATTTTGAAGAATGGCAGCTGAGGCACAGAGAGGTAACCTGAGGAAACCAAGGCACAGAGAGATAAAGTAACGTGGTCCTGGTTATCTAGCTAATGGGGGGGGGGAGCCAGTTTCAGATCTGGGTTGTCTGGCTCCAGACTCAACCACTCAGTAACACAGCCACCTCATGTAGCTCTTGGAGTCTCCTGGCACATGGAGTTGCCTAGTCCTCGTCAGCTTCAGTTGCGATGGGGATGCAGGGGTTAATGGTGACTGACTGTAGAGGTGGATTCAGGTTTGGCTGTAGGAGGCTGGATGTGGAGGGAGAGCCAAGTGGAGGGCCGTGAACGCCAGCCTGCATCGCTTCCTAGCATCCGAGATGGTGGTTTGGTGGGATTCTGGCTTGAAAATAGACATTCATAATTAGTTTTCTAGTCGGTAGGGGAAACCCTCACCAATAAGGAATTGTCTCAAGTAATTAGTAGAGTAATAAAGAGCTTAAACCTCTTTGGCCTTGATGTACACCATTCAGAGGTATATATCAGAGAGCTTCGTCTAGTTATGCTGTGGTAGCAACAGCCCCCAGCTCTCACTGGCTCACGGTGACGAAGTGTGTTTCTTCTATACGTTACCTGTCATTAGGGGGCTGGCCGTGACTCTGCTCCATCCACACCCTCTTCACTCTGGGATTCAGGCTGAAGGATCAGCCCTCCTCTGGGGTGTGCCGTTCTCGTGGCTGGGGGAGGGTGCAGTGTGAGGCTCAGGAGCCGGCTCTCCAGGCTTCTGCTGAGAACTAGCATGTGCTGCTTCTGCTCACAACCCATTGGCCAGAGCAGGTCACGTGGCCATGCCTAATGTCCGTGAGGTGGGAAGTATAGGCCTCCCATAGTAAGGGGCCCAGAGGGAGGGGCAGTAAACATTCTGAACAGACAATTACGCTGTCTGTTCTCTTGCTCACAGATGTTCACTTCCCTCCCTCCTGCACACAAAATCTCTCCCCAGGGGAGATATAACCCCAAAGCCCCAACCAGTCAGAGCATGAGGATTGAAGTCCTGGATGGTGTGATATTTTGGACATCAGGTCTGGATATTTCTCCTCTGGATATGGAGATCTCTGAAAAAAGAATCCAGATATCGCACATACAGTGGAACAATGGGGCTGGATAACCACAATAAACACCGCTGTTCAGAAAGGGGAACATGGGAGGAGTCCAGCAGTCCCTGGTCTGTAACAGTTAGGAAATTCCACCGGGCAGGGTATGCATATGGCTGATTCACTTTGTTGTGCCACAGCAACTAACACAGAATTGTGAAGCAGTTATACTCCAATAAAGATCTCTTAAAAAGAAAAATTCCACTGGGCAGACTTGGTGAGGACCTTGGCCTCGGGAGTGGGGAAGTCTTTTGGTTATATGCAGTGGCTCTGCTCCCTGGGTATAGCTCCCCAGTCCAGTGTTCTCCTTGGCTCCTGGCTCTGCCCTCCAGAAGTTCCTTCCTTTTGCAGTATCCCCCTTGGTCACATATGAAGATGATGTTGGAGGATAAACTCTTTTGAGGGCTAAGCAGCTTTTTCATTCTGCCTGAGTAGGTTGATGGCCCAAGGATTGTTTCAAGTCATGAACATTCAGTGTAACTCTCAAAAACTCGACCAGCTTTTTGTGTACTTCCTTCCATTAGCTCCCTGTGTCAATAGCTTTTTCCCACAGTTCTTGTTGAAATATGCCCCTCTCTTTAGACTTAATTGTGGAGCTTTTGGGGTTTCCTTGGGAAAACCATACTTTTAGTCACTCTGAACAGATTGGTCCCACTGAAAGGATTTACTGGGAGCCATCTGAAATTAATGAGGTTTAAACAAAAGGTTTGACAATCACACCCATGATTTGGTCCTTGCCATTAGGCTGAGTTTTAATCAGCCTCTGTCATGCGAAAGCCATATTTATTTTGTCTTTGACCAGCTGGAAACGAGAACTGGTTAACTCTCCAACCCTGCAGGTCCTGGGGTTTCTGGACACTTTCTTTGGCCTTCCATTTTTATTTTGCAAATCAGCAAACTCTTGAGCTCATTTTTTTTGGTTTTCCTGTAATACTGTCAAGTGACAGTGCCAATGACAACCAACTCATACTACTGATATTATGTTTCCCTCCTCTTTTCGTAACCTCACAAGCTCATGCTTGCACTGTTCGTCTTTCAAGTTACGGCAGCAACAGCTTTACCCCACAGTTCAGCACCAAAGTACATGGGTTGCCATCTTGCCAATAAGTTTCCTCACTGCCTGGCCCTGAAGACAGTGTCACGTATTTTAGGCTTTTTGTCATGGCAGAACCCTATTGGAGTACCAGCTTTTTTAATGAGTCCGTTTAGGCTAGTTATGCTGTGATAACAACAGCAAACCCTGAGAGACTTACACCAGCAATGGTTTATTTCTTGTCCACATTACGCACAAGCTGTGGTTTTGCCCCACATCTTCACTCTGGGATCGTTTGCTGTTCTCAAAGCAGAGGAAAAAGAAGCAATTGCAGAACCTCCACTGACCCTGAAGGCTTTCGCTCATTAAGAAGCTCCTGTCACTTCCTTCACATTCCATCTGTGAAAGCAGAGTATTTGGCCACACCTGAGTCAGTGGGGTAGGAAGATCAATTTTGTAGGGAGGGCCAATGAATATTTTGAACCAATAATATAATAATCGATCACAGGAGGTTACTAAAGTAGTGAGTTTTCCACATTTGATTATTCTGGGCTGCCTTTAACTTCATATAAAATTGTTACTTTGGCTTATTCTATGGAAACCTTAGTATCTAAATGGGATTTGACTTTTAAACGTTTTGGGGGGAAAGTAACAGTACTACGTTCACTTATCTGCTTTATAGTTCATAGTTTATGGATTACTGTACAATGTAAGTCAAATGAGAGTGTTGCTGTTATAGAGAGTGACAGGATAGTTCTGGTTGGGACCCACAGAATGGTTGTACCTGGTGGGGACCTGAGATCCAGGGTCTCACTCTCAACTTTGCACATTCAGGAACTGAAAAATGATTAGGCTTTGGGGGAGAGGATTTATGTGAATCAAACTCGCAGAAGTCTTAACTGATTCACTATAAGGCCACTTGATATACTTCCAGTGAACTGCGTGCTGGCAGGCTGTTTTGGGGATAAGTTATTCTAAGCCCCAGATGATTTTATTTGGCCTTAGCAACAGTTGTCATTGAAATCCTAGGTCACAAGTTTCAGAAATACTTAATTAGAAAACTACTGATACCATTGCATTTCAGAATGCAGAGTATATGAGTTTGTTACTTCAAATCGATTCTATTTAAATGTCACTAAATTGAGAGTGAAACCTTTGGAAAACTGAGGAAATGGATTGTATTTCTCTCTCCCATATAAGCAGAGTGTCTCTGTAGGCCTGATTCTCCTGAGACCCCGATTACATTTCTAAGCACTTGATGTTGACATATGTGGGCACTGGGTGGGATGCCAAGTAGTAAGGATGACACAATCCCTGGAGCAGCTTAAAATATTTTTGAGATGATAAAACCCAGAACAGGGGCATTGCGATCGCTAGGAACTCTCGGAATCCCTTCCCGTACATCCTGAGGTTCTACTCAGACACCAGTCTACTCTCCTCCCCAGGGCCATGAGTGTGCTTCCGAGGGTGCAAGAGTGTCTTCTGTGTTTCAGGACCTGATGACATTTGAGGATGTGGCTGTGGAACTCACCCGGTGGGAGTGGGGGCAGCTGGACCCTACTCAGAAGGACGTGTACCGGGAAGTGATGCTAGAGAATTTCAAGAACCTGGCCTCCCTGGGTGAGCTCAGCTCCTCCAAAGCCCAAAGCCTGCCCATCATGCCATCTTTATTTCTTTGGTGTTTAAAAGCTAGGGGTGTCTGGGCCTGTTGGCTGATTTTTGCCCTGGGATTCTGGAATTAGACATTTACATTCTCTTTGGCGCCCAGAGATACAGTATTTCTACTCCTTGTTCCTAGGAAAGGTCCCACTCCATATGAACTCAGAATAAGAAGTTTCATGACTCTGCTCCTGATACTTCACAATGCTTATTCTTTGGAGGCTGTCTACAAGCCTTGACCTCTGACATACACAGTCATGATCCTTTTCCTTTCCACCAGGGTTTCCAATGTCCAAACCGTATGTGATCTGCCGGTTGGAGGAAGGGGAAGAGCCCTGTATTTTGGAGAGAGAAATCTCAACAGGTGCCCCCGCAGGTGAGTGAGTTGGACCAAAGCAGATGATAAGGCCCAACCGAGAGTGGGAAGTTCCCCTGAGCCCTTGGTCAGGGAGCTTTTCTTTGAAAAGGTGAGGTCACTTGCCAGGAACCCTCAACACCAGTATTTTGAATACTTGTAGGCTTTTGTAATGTTTTTCTGGTGGGAAAAGAAGAGATGTTCATTTTCTTCTCTAGTGTTTATATTTCGCTTGTTACCTATCTCTGCCCACCCTTCAGGGTTCTTGGGGCTGTGCATCATCACTAGATGTCACACGGTCAGTATTAGATGGAATCTAAGGATCAACAGATGTAAGTGCCCAGCAATCCTGTATCAGCAGGGCTAAGAGAGTTGGCAAGGGACCAGACTGAACAGTTAAGTAGCCCAGAAATTAAAGGGTTACTGGCAAGGACATCCTGATGGATAAAGTCAGGAAGATCAAAGTGAGGACACTTCAAGCTTGGTTAAGCTAAGCTGCAACAGAGGTGATTCCAGGAACAAAGACTACTCCTTACTAGCTGTTGATGGAACCTCTTTGAAACTGTTTATTCCTAGGTGATTTGAGAGTACCCCGTAGGCTCCACCCCTTGGGGTAGAATTATGGACACAAAGCTCTCCTGACTCCCGTGTGTAGCCCAAGCATACTGGAGATGACAGTCTGTGTCAGTGTCCATCTCTGAGGCAGAATCAGCCTCAGGCCAGAGCTAACGCTCCTGAAAGCAGGGCTCAACTCCTGACAGCACAGGCTGGGCCTCATCATGGGAACCTAGAAGAGAGGAGAGAGAGGGAAGATGCTGATCTCCTCTGTATTTAGTACTCTCTTGATCTTGTTTCCTTCCAGAATGAGGGCAAGGGTCTGACGTCTGGATCTAGTCTCATCATCAGTATGTCTGTTTACAATGTTCTGCAAACATGGCTGTGTTTCAGAATCTCTTGGGGAGCTTGATAAACATTCATATCCCCAGGAGCCACACAAGACCTACTAGCTCAGAATCTGGCCTCTGGGAGCCCTGGTTAGGCATTGCCAGTCATTTTACTCTTCAGAAGGGTCACTGTTATTGTATTAGCTTTCTGTTGTTGCTGAAACAAACTGTCACAAACTTAGAGGCTTTAAGCAACATGTTTATTATCTCACAGTTCATAGGTCAGAATCAAGCATGGGTCTCACAGTGTTACAACCAAGGTATCAGCAGGGCCGAGTTCCTTTCTGGAGTGTCTAGGGAAGAATCTGTTTCCTGTCCCTTTGGGTTGTTGGCAGTACCAATTCCTTGTAGTTGTAAAACTGAGCTCCTCGTTGTCTTACTGGCTGTAAGCTGAGGGGCGTTCCTAGCTTCTAGAGACTGCTACATTCCTTGGCCCCTGGGGTCCTTCCTCCACCTTCAAAGCCAGAAATGGTGGATTGAGTCCTTCTCACACCACATCTCTCTGACTCAGCCAGGAAATGTTCTCTGATTTTGAGAACTCTTGTGATTAGATTGGGCCCACCTGAATGATTCAGGATAATCTCCCCATCTCAAGGTCTGTGCCCTTAATCACATCTGCAAAGTCCCTTTTGCCATGTAAAGTAACATATGTTCCTGGGATTAGAGCATGGAAATCTTTGGGGGATAATTATTCTGCCCACCACAATTACATACAGTAATATAATACATGGTATATGTATATTATATAATACATAATAATGTGTGGTGTGGACTGAGGGAAGATTTTGTGGAGGGCATCTTCCTAACCCTCCTCTCATCTTTACAATCTTTGGACTTATCTTGTGTCCTGGAGTCCAAACACTGTTCTCTCAGGTTTTCCTAATCTCCAGTCACCTGTGTATCTTATTCTTGACACCTCCAAAACTTTGTTCAGACATACACCATTCTTGGAAGAAACTGTACACCTCTTTTAGATATTATTTTATTTATTAAAATTTTTTTTTTAATTTTATTTTCGGCTGCATTGGGTCTTTGTTGCTGTGTGCGGGCTTTCTCTACTTGTGGTGAGCAGGGGCTACTCTTTGTTGCGGTGTACAGGCTTCTCATTGCGGTAGCCTCTCTTGTTGTGGAGCATGGGCTCTAGGCATGTGAGCTTCAGTGGTTGTAGCACGTGGGCTCAGTAGTTGTGGCTCGTGGGCTCTAGGACACAGGCTCAGTAGTTGTGGCACACGGGCTTATTTGCTCCATGGCATGTGGGATCTTCCCGGACCAGGGATCTAACCCGTGTCCGCTGCATTGGCAGGTGGATTCTTAACCACTGTGCCACCAGGGAAGTCCCTAGATATTATTTTAAAGGTTAATTATCTTACATCTATTATAGGACTTTACTTCCTCTTGGCACAAAGAACAGGTAATAACAGACTGTCTTTTTTTTTTTTTCCCCAGACTGGGAGAGAAGGCATCAAGCCAAGGAATCAATGCTAAGTCAGGGAATTTCCAAAGAAGAAGTATTCCAGATAGCATCAGTGGAAAAAGACATTAGAGATGAACTCTGGTCCTCCAAACTGAAAGCAACTTGTGGTTGTGATGACCAGTTAGAGATGCATCCAAAAAAGCAGGAGAGACATCTGAAAGAAATGTCACTCACTCACAAATATACTACCACCCTTAGGAGAGATCATGAGTGGAGTGAATTTGGGACAAGTTTGGGTTTAAGATCAGTCCCTGTTAACCATCACAGTGTTCTCATGGGAGAAGGATACTATAAATGTGATACAGATTTCAGAGAGACTTCAGGGAGAAATAACTCTCAGAGAACCCATCCAGGGAAGAAATCTTGTAAATGCAATGAATGTGGGAAGTTGTTCCATTTCCAGTCAGAACTTAGGCGCCATCAGAGATGTCACACTGGAGAAAAGCCCTATGAGTGCAGTGAATGTGGAAGAGCCTTTGGTCATATTTCATCCCTTATTAAACATCAGAGAACTCATACTGGAGAAAAGCCCTATGAATGCAGCGAATGTGGGAGAGCCTTTAGCCAGAGTTCATCTCTTGTTCTACATTATAGATTTCATACTGGAGAGAAACCCTACAAATGTAATGAATGTGGAAGGGCCTTTGGTCATACTTCATCCCTTATTAAACACCAGAGAACTCACACTGGAGAAAAGCCCTATGAATGCAGAGAATGTGGGAGAACCTTCAGCCAGAGTTCCTCTCTCATTGTACATTACAGATTTCATACAGGAGAGAAACCCTACAAATGTAATAGATGTGGGAGAGCCTTCAGCCAGAGTTCCTCTCTAACTCAACATTATAGATTTCACACTGGAGAGAAACCCTATAAATGTAACGAATGTGGAAGAGCCTTTGCTCACACTGCATCCCTTATTAAACATCAGAAAAGTCATGCTGGGAAAAATACCCTATGAATTCAGACAATGTGGGAAGGCTTTCAGCTGGAGTACACACACCACTAAACCTCAGAGAATATACATATATGTATATATATATATATATACACACATATATTATATGAGTGTAATGTATGTGGGAAGGCTTCTGGTCGGAGGACCTTGTTAAACATCAGACAGGACATACTAAACTGAAGTTCTGCTAATATCAAGAGAGGGAGTGGGCTTTTGTCACAACTCCTCCCTTATCAAACACCAGAGAATTCAAACTAGTAAACTATGTGAACATAATGGATTTGGAAAGGCTTTAGTTAGTGGACACACATTATTCAACATCAGACAATTTATACTGGGGAGAAGCCTTATCTGTGTAATGAGTATAGCACAGCCTTCAGTCACATACTATTCCAAAAAAAACACAAACAAACCAGATAACCATACTGGAGAGAAACTCCTCAAGTACAGTAAAAGCTGTCAGTAGTACTTCTCTTCTTGCCTTACTAAGCAGCAGGAATACATACTAAAGAGAATCGCTGAGAAAGCAGTAAATGTGGGAAGGCCTTCAATCACAGCACATCCCTTATTAAGCATCAGAGAATTCGTTCTTGAGAAAAACCCTGTGGACATGGTGAATGTGGGAGAGCCTTCAGCCAAACCTCTTCCCCTTATAAACATCAGCAAGCTCACCCCACTGGTTAGAAACCCTGGGGATGTAAAGCATGTGGGAAAGGCTTTGGTGGATGTTCTGCCCTTTGCACATCAGAGAATTTGTACTAGAGTGACTCTCTGAATTTAGTGAAACTGGGAAAGCCCACTAGTCAGAAGCCAGAACTACACATATTGTATAGTTCCCTTTATATGAACTCCACTAGTAATAATGTGTGTTCTCTAACTAAAGCCTTTCCAAATCCAAAACCCTCAGCATACATTAAGGCTTCACCCAAAAGGGAAACCCTGGGAGCTTAATGAATGTGAGGAAAGTTGATTCATAAATCTAGAGCTGAAAGGAAGCTAAGAGACCACCTAGTCTGGTGATTTCCTACCTGCTGGGGGTTGTTTTTATAACCACTTGTGTTGTCTCCCCATCCTGTTACTGATGGGAGAGGGGGTGCTGTGTGGGTGAAGAGAGTGAAGGCTGAGGAAGGTGGAGGCACCAGTGACCTAGCCCAGCCATATTTTACAGCTAAGGAATCTGAGGTTCAGAGAGTGCCATGCCCTGGTCTATACACCTAACTGCTGGACTTCTTTCCTCCTGGTTTACAGCTATAGTTTGGGGATTGAGAGAGTGAAGGCCTTCTCTACACAAAAGCTCCATGCACTTGTTTCTCTGTAATGTTACTTTTATGAGGCAGTAGAGTACTCTTATTAAAGTTTTTGTGAGCAAAAAGCAATTTTAATAGATCTTTATGCTACTAGATTTGGGATTTTTGAAATAAAAAAATTTTAAACATCAATTAAAATATGGGTATTTTAAAAATCAAAACCTCAAAAACATTATCCTAAGTGAGAGTAGCCAGATGCCAGGGACCACATATTGTATGGTTCCCTTTATATGAAATGGCCAGAAAAGGCAAATCTTCAGAGACAAAGTAGATCAGTGGTTGCCTGGGGCTGGGAGTGGCAACTGGGAGTGACTGCAAATATTTCAAGGAATCTCACTGGGGTGGTGGGGCTGTCCTAAAACTGGATTATGGTGATGGCTGAACAACTTGGTAAATTACTAAAATTCACTGAAATGTGCAAATAAAATTAAATTTTATGGTATGTAAATTATACCTCAACTGTTTTTCAACAATCAAATATACAGACATACCAACTATCGCTAAACCAATTTTCCTATCTCGTCTGTTACTTCAAGCCATCTGTGTGTCTTTGCTATCACTTTCTATTTTCTGTAATGGTTATTCCTAAGCTTACTGAGTCTCAAGTTCATATCATGTTGTCTCTGCAACCTATGTGGAGAAGCCAAGACCAAGAGCTGTCATAGGCCAGAGGAGTCTTGGCTAAAGGAATTAGCTTGCACTAAGGACAGTCGTTCAAACATTTAAAGTCCAGATGAGTTAGCTGAGCCCAGAATTCAGGGAACCAGCTCAAAGTGGGGCCATGCAGACAAGCAGGATCTAGGGGTACAAGAGGTTGGCAGAGGGGAGTAGGCAGGTAGAAGGCACAGGAGGCATCTGGACAGCTAAGATCATGATGCCAGCCTAGGAGCCTGAAAATCATGGGAAATTCTTCCCAGAGATTCAAAGTTCACAAGCAGAAATAGCAAATATTTTACATTAGTAACAGCTTAGTTTGCTCTATCACACATTCTTTCCCTCCAGTGCCCTTCTCTAACCCCCGCCCAGGTCACTTTATATACCTGGATACCTGCAACAACTTTGTAGCTGGTCTTTGCCTAACATCTGTCCCTTCCTCTTTTGTATCTCGGCCACATTAACCATTCTCATCAGTGTGCACCCATTCGCACCCCTGAAAGCCTTTGTACTGCCTACAGGATAAATGCTCACCTCTCAGTTTAGCATTTATTGCCCTCTTCAGTCTGCCCTAATCTCCTGCTGCTCCTGACAAGAACCTCTATTTCAGAAAAACTAGCTTGCCTGCCGTACTTAAGACATGCCTCTGCACTTCCCAGCCTGGGCCATTCTGCTCAAGCCTTTCCACCAGCCTGGAATGCCCCCTCCACTGTCTAAAGCCTAATAATCAGTCAGAACCCTGTTCAAAGGTCCACTCCTTGGGGAATAATTCTCTTGAACACTGATGAGAAGTCAGGTCTTATTCATTTGCAATTGTAAAAGCATTTGTTGTATCCGTAAGTATTTAAAAATGAACATATAGATAGGGATAGTTCTTATCACTGTCTTGATCTATTTAAGTCACGGGTTGTTTATCATCTTGCCACTTTGTCTCCTGAACCAGATTATCAGCTGCTTCAGGTCATTTCTCATACTTCCTCTCAGAAATGAGCACCCAGTAGGTCCTCACTAACCACATATTAATTTGAAAAACAACTTGTATTGCCCAAGTTTTCTCAGTGCTCTGACTGCACAGTTTCTACTAGATGAAAATCTTTCCTTCTAGAACAGTACCAATCAAATATTTTCTTAGAAAAATACTACATTGTTCCTGTAATTATTTTTCAATTTCAAATATAGGTTAGCATTGTTCCATCTTTTGGGGTTGTTGTATGCATATATGAAAATTCACTGCTATTTTATTTTGTAGCACTACAATGACTTCTCATTCCAGCTACCCAGAGGTGGGCCAAACTTCACAGGTTAAGGAAACAGTCACCCACAAGACTGCTCTCACTTCAGACACCAGCCATGAATTGGGGGTCCCTAGGTCACCCTTTGACCATCTGGCTACAAATTTGGGAGTTCCCACTACTCTTTCAGACTTGGTAATTCTATATATATAAAACTACTCTCAGAACTCAAAAAAGTGCTGTATTTATTATGATAATTTTATTATAGCAAAAGGATACAAATCAAAACCAGCCTAAGGAAGAGACACATAGGGTAAGGTTTGGGAACAGCACAAATGTGAGGCTTCCCCAGGAACACATTACCCTTCTGGCATATTGATGTGTAACAATAATACATAGAGTGCTTCCAGGCCAGGAAACTCACCTGAGCTTCATTGCCCAGAATTTTATTGGGGTTTCATTACGTTGGCGTGATCAATTGACCACACAGTTGAATTCCATCTCCAGTGCCCTCCACCCCCAGGTTGGGCTGATACCATGTGGCTCAAAGCCCCAACCCTCTAATCACTTGGTTGATCTGTCAGGCATGGCCAGTCCCCATCTTGAGTCATCTCATTTGAGTAAACTAGGGGCCAACCACGAGTCACTTCATTAGCATAGACTATCAGATATGGTCCTTGGGGGGGTCACTATGAATAACAGAGATATCCTATCACTCAGGAAGTTCCAAGGATTTAGAGGTTACCTAACACACATTCAAATCAATGTAAAAATGCTGGGCTTCCCTGGTGGCGCAGTGGTTGAGAGTCCGCCTGCCAATGCAGGGGACATGGGTTCGTGCCCCGGTCCGGGAAGATCCCACATGCCGCGGAGCGGCTGGGCCCATGAGCCGTGGCCGCTGAGCCTGCGCATCCGGAGCCTGTGCTCCACAACGGGAGAGGCCACAACAGTGAGAGGCCCGCGTACCGCAAAAAAAAAAAAAAAAAAGCTTCTTCAATTATTATTCAAATAAGTCATAAACATAAAGACTGTACTTTAAACATTCCTCATCAAATAATTGCAATATACCACTTCTGCTTGCAGACCACTGGCAAGAACTTAGACATAGGACTATGGCTGATGGCAAGGGAGGCTGGAAATGGAAGTTTTTGTCCTGGGCAGCAATGGGGCCAACGAAAATTGGGGGATTCTATTACTAAGGAAGAAGAGGAGGATGGATATTGACAAATGACCAGGAATCTGTGCCTGAAGACCCCAATACTTCAAAGTCATTTGGGAATGAGATCATATCCACGATCCTCTCTGGGTCTCAGTCTTCTCCTCTGTAAGATGAAGGGCTTTGCACTTGTGGAAATAAATGAAGACTACCCAAATGAGAAGAAACAGGCTGTTTATTCAGAGCTTGCCATAGCAAGGGATCAGCCACTATCACCTGCACCTGGCAGAGACCCAAAGGCATGAAAGGATTAAGAAAGCTTTACGATGAGAAGAAAAAAAGTGAAAGCTTCAGGTATGCCCTGACTGGAAGTTGTCGGCATGGGAAAACTGGAGGGGGGCTAAGTCGGAGCAGGATATCTTATGTGATTGGTTTGGGCAGCATATTTGGTTTTCTATGGTTGGTTCTAAGTTGGAAGTGAGGGCAAAGAATAGGGGGGAAGTAGTCATTTGGCTGTTCTGAGCTGATTGCTGCAGAGGCTGTGGTTTGGCTTCCAGGCTGGTTGCTGCAAAGGTGTGGGACAGAGTTCTATTGTCATATAAGGTGTATCCATTGTCCACTGGTATATTTAGTCCCTCAGTTCTCCCTTTTGGTCACTTTCTTGCTTGAGAGAGGTTGACCAATTCAGAGATGCTAGAGAGCCAGATCTTTACGGAGGACTGTTTGGTTGTCTCCATAGTAAACTTATCATGAGATCTTTTTGATCTTTTTGTTGTATCATCATGGCAATCAGATCTGATGAGAGAGAAGCTGTGCAGAAGCATTGAGCCAAGTAGTGTTTTCTTTCAGGTGATGTACTGCCTGTTCTACCATGCCTGTTTCATTAAGCCAACTATAGTAATGGCATAGATGCCCCCATGATCTGTCAGTAAGAAGTTTAGTGCAAAGCAATTGCCCATAACTACTTGAGCCAATGAGCTGAGACAAATCTACAGATCTTCAGTCTAGGGAAGAGGTGATGTCATAACTTGTGGCAGTTAGTGAGTGATAGGTCTCTTATAGTCTTTTTGTCTCCCACCATTGGAAATACTGCTCTGATTGTTCACATAAACAATGAGTCAGCAATTCCCCAAGGCAGAGTGCATGAATAATTAAGGGTGGCCGCATTTTGGAGCTCTTGCCTGGGTTGGAATTTCCAGCACTGGAGATGTATAAAGTTAGGATTTCTATATACAGACAGTTTGGGGATGCTATTCCTAAAGTGCATGAATTTTTAGTCTGAGGAAAACGAGACCTGTTGACCTGGTTACAAAGGAAGTAGAATCCAGTAAGGGCACATAGAGATCCAGGAAAAAAGTTGTTCATGACATGAGATTGGAGCCAAAGCCACCCTTAGGTGGCTTTGCTATATATTTAGCTCTGCTATATACTTGGATCCCTTTACTGTCTTCCAGCTGATAAGTAACCTGCCTACTACCCTAACGAAGGTTGTTGAATTCGAATTCAGAATTACCTGGATTCTGATCAACAGATTGTGATAACTGGCTCTTTTTCTGGGAGAGTGGGACACTAGCAAAGTCACAGGTTGCTTTGTTTAAGGTCATTTGTCCCTGTAGGTGCTAATGGAAAAACCACTGGCTTTAATTCTCTATAGTCTCATTTGGTGAGACCAGAATTATTCATATGTATTTATCATGATGGTCTGCCAATGGATGGCATATCCAGCAGTTGGTGAGATTTAGAGTAGTGGCTACTATTTAGGATAATCTAAGAATGGCATTAGAATGAGTACGCTCTGGGGACTTCCCTGGCGGTCCAGTGGTTAAGACTTTGCCTTCCAGCGCAGCGGGTGTGGGTTCAATCCCCGGTTGGGAAGCTAAGATCCCACATGCCAAAAGACCAAAACATAAAACAGAAGCAATATTGTAACAAATTCAATAAAAGACTTAAAAAAAAAAAAGTGGATGGATGGATGACATCCAGGTGGATGACAACCAGGAATCAATAGAAATGAGAAGAGACTATAAGCAAGCAGATGAAAAGCAAAACAAGACTATTTTTGAAGTATAGTTGATACAGTATTGTGTTAGACAAAACAGGGCTTTGACACAGGTCTTGGTCTGACATCTTGGGCAGAAGCTATCTGTCACCTGAAGTCATCTGTTTATTCCAAAGGTCTTTGGTCAGCTGTATGCTTCTGAAGACCAGCTGCTTCTAGAGCATCTGGGAGAATCCTCAATTTGAAGTCCTCTACTGGAATAGGCTTCCAGTTGTGTCAATTCGGAAATTCTTCTTTAGTTGTAAAATATGTATTGAAGAATTGACCCCCTGGAGTTTCACTGCTGTATTTGTTAACAGTACCCGATAAGGTTCTACACAATAAGGTTCAAGAACAATTTT